CTTCGTCTCATGACCTTAAACACTGTGTATACATTTAAAGTCAATGGGATATTAACTTTAGCCTCTAGAGTGTCCACTAGATTTTTCAAAGTGATCAAGGGCCATAACTCTGACAAAAATTATCTGAAATCCTTGAAAATATCTAGGTGTCTTCGTCTCATGACCTCAAACACTGTGTATCAATTTAAAGTCAATCGGATATTAAATTTAGCCTCCACAAGCAATTGTGGATGCCGGACCGACGGACGGATGGGGGCGACAACAATATACTACCACATTTCAAGGTGGGTGTATAAAAACGTGATTTTTCATCCATCAAGAGCCTTAATTCAGGAAGTTACGATCTGATATGCGCGAATTTCGAAAGGAACCAAGATCTATAAGCATAAATTTAAGATTGCATCAAAATCTAAAAAAAATCGTGTCCTGTAGGGAGTCTACAACCTTGATATACCACATATTTACACCATTTGCGTTATACGAGGGGCGGCCATTTTGCCCTTCAGTTCTGGTCCCATTTTCACGAAATTCATACTCAATTGTCATTACGGTGTAACGGTTATATACTTACACGCTTTTTTAAATCGGATAATAATTGTGACCTGCATAGGGTCCCGAGCACAATTCATCCCATGCCAAGATCGTCTTTCTAAGTTCCATCGATCCACAAAGGCAAGCTTGGTTTTTTTTTTACCACATTATCAAAATTACCGTTACATATGTGCTAATTACTTGGATTATGAACCAATGGCTGATTCTCACTAAGGTATGACTGTTATTGTAGTCGACAAGCAGGTTGATTGACTACTTACTCAACAAGTAATAATTAACCCGTTGTAATTTAGCCGAAAGTAGTCAAGTAGATTGATTTATGATACCATAGTGGCCTGTTTATTGTTTTACCAATCGGCTTGATTGAACTTCAAGCTTTTAAAGCCGATAAAAAACAGCCGATTAAGATCCCTGCTCTTAACCACTGAAGGTGCTAATTAATTGATGTAATTAAGAGAAGTTATTCTCATAAAAGTTATAATATACAAAACATGGATTACTAAAGTATGGAGTATTCACATTTGTTCTAAAATGTAACACTGTCATAGGAAGTAGTTTTAATAAACGACTAAATAGCAAATAAATTGCCTGGTTGCTATATGATTTTGTTTAGGAACATGCTAGGGGTTCCACTTCAAAAATTTTCCCAGAGGGTCATTTTTCACTTGGAGAAAGTGGTGCTATTTTTAGCAAATAATAAGAAGCCACAAAACATCTTTGTGTAGGAATATCATATTTTAACCACGGAATGTTTGTTACTGTCTTCCTCGCGGGCCGATGTTGAAGAAGGGAGGTCGGATTCATTGATGACAATGTTATCATCTCGCTATCTTTTGTTATTCTGAGAGGTTTGGAATTTCAGCATTTTGAAAAGATGTAAAGCATGCTAACATTTCTGATATATATATCATTCGCATGATTAACTCTAGTTATCAAGTGAAGACATCAAAGTAAAGTTTTTAATTTGTTTGATGTTGATATAGTAAATATGGCTGCACGAGCGATGAAAGTCAGTAAATATGCTGTAACAACAACTCGGTTTCAAGAATGATCACACAGTACTAATTAAACAACAAAACTCGGTTAATTAAAGTGATTAAATGTTAAGCTTTTAATCTGTTTGATGTTAATCCTCCGTTGATTGTGATTAGAGCAATATACACAAGGATAATTAATTGGCAGTGGTTTCCATTTGTGGACTACTGAACACTGTTAATTTTATTATTACCTGACAGCTTACATCACGACAGTTTCTTCGTATCCCAGGATTTTATGATTTAGTATAAAATATGCTATTTTTCCGGCATGCAAAATGACCTATGGGTCTGATCCAGTTTCGGTCATTTTCCAGAGCCCTCGGTCCCGACCACCATATACGACCGACATGGAACATATAAACGCAATATCTAGAGAGTGTTTAAAGTAGCTAAGTCCGTAACTCAATATCATCCAAAATCTTCGACATTGAAAACACTAATTTTTTTGCAATTTAAATCAGCATTGGTGTTGTGATCTTACTTGGAAAAGATTGGCTTCTGATATCCAATATTTAAAACAAAATAAGCACTTTACCATTGGTACATGAATCGTGTACCATAGTGCATTTCAGTGCCATTTGTAACAAGGTGCTCAAAGAATGAGGTTATACACATATTCCACAAGTCATGTTAAACGGTGATGTGATATATTCTTATTTGGAGAGCATGCGCAATAAATAATATCAGTGTTGACTGGAATAACCAGACGCTAGAAACTGACTTGCTTTCGGGACTTATAGCGTATTTCGCCGAACATAACTGATGACAATTCACAGTAAAACGGACACGATTGAATGTAAAACAGTTTATATAAATTCATATTACATTATTATATGTGTTGCGACCCATTTGTGCCAATTTCTAGGTCCAAAATATTAGCGATTTAGCTCCTTTAAATGTCTATCATTGCACCCGGAATTCCATATAGGAATCTACTTAAAATTTCAAAATGCGACCTGTAAGTTGATATCGCGGACAACGGCATCGCGCTTTAAACTACATTATAAAATAAACCTGATATTTCTCTGATATTTCTTTCTGACGTGGCTGGGTCATTTGAGGTGCCAGGTAGTGGTAAGAATAGAAGACAGTATATTTACATACAGCAAATTTGGCTTATTTGCTATATACCCCATGGATATACAAATTGGGGCCTACCTGTTCGATATTTATGAATGACGACATTGCATTTTGTGCGATAGATTAAGGTCAATATTTTTATTTTATTAAATGCAACTTTATCTATAAGTAGAGTGACTATATGATACGCAGTAAAAACGCCAGGTATAGTCGTAAAAATAGAAGACTCGGAAAATGATTACGTGTCAATTTGGGCGTATATGTTTCTTTGATATGTTATATCACGGGACAATTCTGTAATTGCATACAAACGGCTATTATAAGTTACAAGTTTAAATATATCATTTGTGTGGGAATTACCACTGTTCGGTTGGTTGTGCTGTATTATTTATCAATATGGAGATTGTTTTATGGATATTGCTATTGAAGGTAAGATGCACAATTTACGCATCGTGACACTTTTTATAAATTTAATAAATGTGAAACGGTGAGTGCGCGTCTTTTTAGTAATAAAGCAGAAATATATTTCGGTTGTAGAAAAAATAGTTTTTGCTGGATTTACTCTATATATTCCTGTGGATATTCAAATTGGGCACTGACTGCTGGGTATTTATTAATGACGACATTAAATTCGCCTTTCCGTATACAATAAAATAAGGTCCATATTTTTATTTCATTAAATGCAACTTGATATATATGGTACGCAATACAAAAGACACATAAGAGAAATGCAGATCATAGCAAGCACACAGGCCTATCTAAAGACCTGTCTTTAATTATACAAAGACCTGCATAAAACACACGGTCGAATGATAAATCGCAAGGTAAAACAGTTTTACTTCCCAAATTTTGATTTAACACGTACGTGTCTGATAAAGGCTGTTGGTCCTTGATTATACCCCTTTTGGTGCAGTTATCGCAACTAGCAAGAAAATACGCCAATTAAACAATACACACCATTGACATTCATTTTTCACCCGTAGCGTTAATTAACTCACCTTTCAGACATTTTTTCAGCCTTGTTAATTAATGCACCTTATTTACAATTTTTACACAGTAATACCGAGTAACAGTCGGGAAATTAATTTTCTTTCGATACACGTACAAATAACAAGCCAAAAAGAGATTTCTATAATGGCTGTCCACAGATTCACCTCTTTGGAGTTCTCAGTGTACAGTAGCTTTAGAAATAACTTCATTTTATTTTTTAAATTACTTTATCATTAGCTATACCATTAGGAGCGGCATCTTTTGGTTTAGTACAAATAATATCTCTGAAACACATGGATTAGGTAAGAACATGATACTAGCAGTAGTTTCATTTCATTTTAAGGTTCTTAAAACAATTGTTGAGTTGCCTAACATGCTTGTTTCTAAATTCAGTTTCTTGTTCCAGCTTTCTGTTATGTTATCAAGTAGTCTTGATTATCCCGGCCTGTCAATCAGACGGAGAATGGTTGGTAGACTGATTAAACGAGACTAATTTCAAAACAAGAGCATGTAACCTATTTTTAACTCAAAAGTGCCCGGATGTTATGTCCGACACTCGTAACCATTTTTCAGTCTATTATTTATGGATGGTTAAATGGTCATAGCTTATAAAAGTACAACATGACCGTTTATTTAGTGTAAGTGACTATAAATGTGCGAAACTGAATTACGGCTTCGTATATATATAAATATTGTGGTGTAATTGTCAAGATATTTGGAGATATTTATTTATGGTGGGGAACCCTAAAAATTTCATACAGATTGGATCATAACTTTTGTCGTTCGAGCGTTCACAAGGTTCAACAAAGTGAAATAAGGGCCATAACTCTAGAATAAATTAATGGAAATTGCTCAAAATCAACAGGCTTCTTCGTTTCATTGATTTAAGTGACACATAAATTTCATACAGATCGGACAATAACTTTTATCTTTAGAGTGTTCACAAGGTTCAACAAAGTGAAACAAGGGACATAACTCCAGAATTACCTTACAGAAATTATAGAAATTAAATAGGATTCTTCATCTCACAACATATATTAATTTCAAAACAATCACATGATAAATGTAGTCTGTAGTGTGTTCACAAGAAATTGTGGACAGACGGCATATAAAAATAAATCTGACAAGAACGGTAGTGTGTAGAGAGTTCACAAGAAAGTTGGGCAGTTTGAGGCATACAGGGGATGACAATATACATCCACAGTGAAATATGGGATATAAAAATGTGATGGAAATATTTCAGACTGATTATGACCTTTAAGAAAGAAAATTAGTTTTAATTCAAAAATTTCTTATTAATAGTAATAATAGTCTTTTGTTTTTAGTTGGAAAATGACTTACTAATATAGCCTTCTGTTTCACATCATATTTAACTGTCATAGCATCTGTTTCTCTCTCATCTAAATAGAAATAACCTGAACCTTTTTGTACCTCTATTGTTACCTGTAAAGAAAATATGTAATACATTGATACATGTTTATAAAACTTATGAGTTATTGTCCTGTAGATTGCCATCTCAGACAATTGTGATAAAATAATAATTTTGACGATACAATTTCCTTGTGGCGATTCTTTTTTGCTTGTGCCAATTTTCATATCTTTTAAAAGTCCATTTCAGTCAACCTCACCCTACCTGCTATAGTTTTCCAGTCTACAGTATCAGATCAGGGGCCATAATTCAGGAAGTTACGGTCCGATACGTGCAAATATCGAAAGGAACTGAGATCTTTAGGTTATAAACTTACATTTCAAGTTTCATCAAAATCGGATAAAAATTGTGACCTCTATAGGGTCCATAAGCTAAAAACATGATATTTCGTACAAACAGGGGCCATAATCCATGAAGTTTCAATCCGATACATGCCAATATCAAAAGCAGCCGAGATCTTTTGGGGATAAACCTATATTTCAAGTTTCGTCAAAATCGGACAAGAATTGTGACCTGTAGAGAGTCCACAAACAAATTGTGGACGGAGGGACGTCCAGACAGACAGGGGCGACGACAATATACGTCCACATGAAAATGTGGGCGTATAAAAAGGGTGTAAATTTAAGCAATTTACAACCCATTCGGGCTTTTCATATTTCAGAATATTTCTGTGTAATGTTCATATACTTGTAGCATGAATCTATATGAAGACAATCTATGTCGAAATTAGTTTGTAATATGAGCAGTTGCTGTGAAATGAGCAATTTTATTCAGATATTTTATTCAAATGAGTCCTATTTGTTATGCATTTAAAAGTATGATATTTAATCTTATCTCACTTTTAACAGTTTTTGGTCCATAAAAGTCAATTATTTTCAACATTTATTTTCACCGAAAGTGACAACATTTGACAAAAACTGTATTTTTAGCCTCCAAAACAAATATCTTCTTCAAATGAGTATTATTCAATATTCCTTCAAAATTAATATATTTAATTCCATCCAACATATAGAATGATTTAATACGATGATATAGATATCAAACAAGCAGTTGCCATGCAAGATACACCCACATTTTGCAAGAGATGGACAGAGAACATGCTCAAAAAAAGAAGTGATTTTTCATACAATCAAGGGCCATAATTCAGGAAGTTACGATCCGACATGCATGAATATTGAAAGGAACCAAGATCTTTGGGTTATAAACATGTATTTCAAGTTTCATCAAAATCAGGGTCCAAAACCTTGATATACCATATATTTACAATAGTTGCGTACGAGGGGCAGCCATTTTGTCCGGCAGTTTTGGTTAATTTGTACAGTAACAGTGGTGTAACAGTGATATATTCAAAGGTTTTTTTAAATCGGATAAAAATTGTGACATCTAGAGGGATCACATCCTAAAAACGTGACTGTTCGTACAATCAAGGGCCATAATTCAGGAAGTTACGATCCGATATGCGCGAATATCGAAAGCAACCAAGACCTTTGGGTTATAAACATGCATTTCAAGTTTCATCAAAATCGGCACAAAATTGTGACTCCCAGAGTGTCCACAACCTTAATATACCAGATCAGTCCGGACGTCAGTGCCGAGAACCCACTTTTGTTTGATATATGTTTCTCGGTTGATTATTGTGGGGTAGGGTCCCCTTGATTTTTCCAAGGTGGGTGTGGTCGTGTGACCCTTGGGGAAAATTAATTATTCAAGATGGCGGCAAAAAATTGCAAGAAAAAAAACAAAGTCATTTTTCACCTTCCTAGGTCGTGTAATATATTGTTTGATAGGTTTTCGGGGTCGCTGAACACGCATTCGGGCATATTTTTAACATCCGACCTATTCCGACAAAGATATTCAAAATGGCAGCGGAAGTACAAGAATTTCATTTTTCGCCATACTAGGTCGTGTAATATATCGTTTTATATGTTTTGGGGGTCGCTTAACGCGAATTCGGACATCTTTTCAACATAAGACTCATCATGAAGGCAGAAAAAAAAAAAAAAACAAAGTTCACACAGCTGGATTTATGATAGATCATTCCAGAAATTTCAATTTTAGCTAAAACTGTAAGTAACAATAAAAAATACAATATGTAAAACATATGACCAGAGCAATATTAATATTAGTGTATCATATTGTGTCATCTTCATCATCACTATCCAGTGGCGGCGCCAGGGGGGGCATTTGCCCCCCCCCCATTAATCTGGTCTGCCCTCTGTTTGCCCCCCCAATAATTTTAGAAAATAAAAAAAAGTATTTCTGATACGTTTCGGTAATCAGTACCTTCTACGGTGAATAAATCCCACATCCCCACTCAGTCAAAAACTTGCATGTTGTAGAGCATTTCCGACAGTCTATTTTTCAAAATTTTCTTGCGAGGTCTCCAATGGACTCGCTACTTTGGCGCTCATAAGGGGAATTTGTTGAGGTTCGTAAGTCCGTTCTTTTTACATTTTGTTCTCCAGTCGGATTAAATAGTGATCAGGCGACGAACCGTGTCTGGGCAGATCTATTTATCTCGACGATCAGTGCCTGACAGAATACTGTCAGACAGCATTTCCGGTAGTAGGACTCCCTACTTTGACGCTCGTGAGTGGGCTTCATCGTGATTCGCAAGTCCGTTTGTTTGACATTTTACCTCATCGATCAGTGCCTGAAATACTGCCAGGCTACATTTCCGGCAACCTGTTTTTCAAAATTTTCTGGGGGAGGCCCCCTACCCCTAGTTGAAGCTCGTGCCTTTGCCCCCTTAACCTTGGACTTTGCCCCAGATTTGCCCCTCTAATCACTGACGGCTGGCGCCGCCACTGTCACTATCCTCTGTTCCAGCCTCAAATGACGGAATTGAAGCATTTGTCTGAATTGGAACAAGAATAAAAATCACAATATGATAAATCTGACTTTTTACAGCCACATCGGCCGCTTTGACATAGCGGCTCAGATTAACACCCGCATTTTATAACTTTTATCAGAACATCCGGTACCATCTTTGTACCATCTGGTACCATTCTGGGAACTAGTGATTTTTGGGGGACTGGAAGAGTCCCCACTCCAGCCGTAGTCTAGTGGACTTAAGTCTGGTGGATCAGTTTCCAGGGCTGAAAAACATACTTTTAATTCAAGGTAGGCTCGTTTCAGGTTCCTCTTTACAGCTTCGTCTGTTGGAGGTAATGTTTAGGAGCCACTGTTTGATTTCTGCCTGTTCTCGGTTCCTTTCGATATTAGTGCATATCGAATCGTAACTTCCTGAATTATGGCCCCCGATTGTACGAAAAATTGCGTTTTCAGCTTGTGGACCCTATAGCGGTCATAATTCTTATCCGATTTAAAAAGACGTTTGAATATATACTGAGCGCCATGGAAAACGCATCACTTTTTTTTCCCAAATATTTTATTACTAGGTGGTTTTGTATGTATAATATTATGCAATACTATGAACTATTGTTTCACACAATGCTCCCAAACGCAAAAAATATCAGCCCGTGTGCACAAAAAAAAATTGCACGAGATGCACATGAAAAACCCAATATTCACGTGCAGCATTGTGTGTGAGCCCTTTAAAAGCATGTTTTCAACTTATGTGCAGTACATGAACTGTGAAACATCAATCTGTCGTAATTTGTTGTTGGACGTGTGAAGGAATCGAGCTAGAGATGCCGAGACTTACTGAAAATCAACGGAATGAAGCCATGGGAATGTCCAGGGCTGGCATGTCTACATGTGCTATTGCCAGACACTTCAATTGTCATCAGTCCACTATTGTAAGCTTGGTGGAAAGTGTTCGAGTTACTGGATCAACACGTGACCGTCAACGTCCTGGTCCACAACGCCCAGCGACTCAAACAGGTGCAGCAGTCGTCGGAAGACAAGGACCAGTAAGTGCCAACACCGTAAGACGTCGTCTAAGTGAAGTAGGACTCCGTGCACGACGACCTTATGTTGGAACTATCCTCAGGGATCATCACCGTCAGCGGCGTTTGATATGGGCTCAAGGACACCAGACATGAAGAAGAGTAGACTGGCAAAGTGTGCTCTGGCAAAGTGTGCTCTTCAGTGATGAGAGTCGCTTTCATCTTTATCACGCTCATGGCCGTCAGCGTGTGTGGAGAAGTCTTGGGGAACGTCTTGCAGACTGCTGCGTCTTCAAAACGAAAAAATGAAATGAAATGAAATGGGGTTTAACGTCCTACTGTTTTGCTCCGAACTGGGCTAATGAAGACGGGCATACGCCATACAGTGTGCTATGAGGGAAATTTTGCCCGGACAGCGGCACTACGGCCTACTCTTATATCGAATTCCAACTGTCAAGGGATCTTTTACGTGCACGCCAATGTATACACGGTACCTCAGTTTTTCGTCTCATCCGAATGACTAGACAGCTGTCCTTGTCAGGCCCTCCGTCCTGCATCACTGACAAGGGGAAACCACGCCGGAAAATCTGGATGAACTTTCTCGGCCAATGCAGGGATCGAACACCCGACCTCCAGGCTAGCGAGCCAGCGCCTTACCCACTTAGCCACCGTGATCCCCCTCTTCAAAACGAATCGATGGGGTGGGGGAAGTGTACTGGTGTGGGGAGGCTTCACATTTCACATCACCGGACCGCCCTACACATTTGCAGGGGTCGCGTTAATGCTGTAGCCTACCGTGATGATGTCTTGCAACCAATTGTTGTTCCGATGTTTCGAGCGCACCCACAACTTCAGCACTTCCAACAGGATAATGCACGTCCGCATACTGCCCGTTTTAGTAGTATGGACTACCTGGCTGCTAACAACATCAATGTCTTGGACTGGCCAGCCATGTCTCCGGATATGGCACCGATAGAACATGTCTGGGATGAGATTGGACGCATTCTGTATCGGAGACCACAGATGCACACCATTGCTGCTTTAGAAGCTGCTCTTGTCCAAGAATGGAACAATTTGCCCCAGGCCTTCTTTCAAACATTGGTAAATTCCATGCGACGTCACTGCACAGCGTGCGTAAGAGACCGTGGAGGACACACGCGCTACTGACATCTGTGTCGTACTTTTGGTTTTGACCCCTCTGACTTTGTACCATTGATTACAGATTAAACATCCATAAGTGTACAAATGTGTTGTTATTGATGTGTTCCCATTTGAATATTGTTCACAATAAGAAGCAAAATCAATAAGATATGTTTACAGGATCATATTGTTATACGAAAAACTAAGTCATGCATTTTCCATGGCGCTCAGTATATCACTGTTATACCCTAAGGATGGTTGAATTCGAATTTCGTAAAAATCGGTTTAGGAGCAAAACAGTAGGACGTTAAACCTCATTTCATTTCATTTCATTTTCATAAAAATCGAACAGCCAATTACTCATGAATTTAACAGGATGTAATAGACATTCATATTTATTGTGGGCGGAGTAACTTTAACTCTGAGTGCCAGAATTAATGTTTAAAGTTAAATTGGAGCAAATTCTTTCATAAAGTCCTTTCAATATATTGTTTAAGTGGCATTTAGTAACTGAATGAGAATAACACATGACACAATTATATGGAATACAAGTTACTCAAAGGATTTATTTCTGAGACGTTACGAAGAGGGTTCTCCCGTCTTTATCAAGCTAACAACCCTTGTGTCATGTGTTATGCTTTCAATACAATTAATGTAAAGGCTTATGCAATTGAAACTAGCGGCTGCCAAGCAGGATACGCCCACATTTTCGAGAGATGGATAGGAAACAAGCTAAAACGAAAGTGATTTTTCCTTCAATCAAGGGCCATAATTCAGGAAATTACAATTCGATATGCGCAAATATCGAAAGGAACCGAGATCTTTGGGTTATAAACTTACATTTCAAATTTCATCAAAATAAAATTAAAATTGTGACCTCTATAGGGTCCACAACCTTGATTAACATATTTTTACGCTATTTGAGAACGAAGGGCGGCCATTTTATCTGTCAGTTTTGACCCAATTTTCACGAAATTCGAACTCAGCTGTCCTTAGGGTGTAACGGTGATATAATAATACGATTTTTTAAATCGGATAAAAATTATGACCTCTATAGGGTCCACAAGCTAAACACATGATTTTTCGTACAATCAGGGGCCATAATTCAGAAAGATACATTCCGATATGCACGAATATCGAAAGGAACCGAGATCTTTGGGTTATAAGCATACATTTCAAGTTTAAACCAAATTGGATAAAATTTGTGACCTCTACAGTGTTCACAAGCTAAATATGTGATTTTTCGTACAATCAGGGGCCATAATCCATGAAGTTACAGTCCGATACATGCCAATATCGAAAGGAACCGAGATCTTAGGGTGATAAACCTATATTTCAAGTTTCATTGAAATCGGATAAAAATTGTGACCTGTAGACTGTTCACAAACAATTGTGGACGGACGGACGTTGCGGGGCGACGACAATATATGTCCACATGAAAATGTGGGCGTATAAAAACAAGCCAATAGTGAGGCTGATGTCCCCCGCCGAAATACCAAAATAAAAAGATGACACATATTAATTAATCGCACATTTATTTTTTTCAAAAGTATCAAGCAATTAAACCATCACTCTCTATCAGATAGAATCAAGATCCCAAACCATCAACAAATGAAATCGATTAGCTCTGCTTAGCGTCAGCTCGAAATGTTAATCATTGAACTCAGTCAAGACATTCACCTAATGAACATCTACATCAAGTTTAAACATTCACCTAATAGACCCCTACGCCAAGTTTGAATATTCTACCTCAATTAGAAGAAGAGTTATTGTGTTCCAAAGTCTCAACCAATCAAATTGCTTATCACTCTGATTACCCTCAGCAAACAATGTTCATTATCGAACTTAGTCAAGGTATTCATGTAATAAAGCTATACACCAAGTGTCCTCACTCTCACTTAAATAGAACTAAAGTTATCGTGTCCCAAAGCATCAACCAATCAAACTGCTTATCTCTGCTTACCTTAAGCAGAAAATTCACATCTTCGAACTCCATCAAGGCATTCATCTATGCCAAGTGTTAACATTCTAACTCAATTAGAATGAGAGTTATTGTTTTCCAAAGTATCGACCAATCAAATTGCTTATCATTCTGCTTACCCTGAACAGAAAATGCTCATTATCGAACTTAGTCAAGGTATTCATGTAATAAAGCTATACACCAAGTGTCCTCACTCTCACTTAAATAGAACTAAAGTTATCGTGTCCCAAAGCATCAACCAATCAAATTGCTTATCTCTGCTTACCCTAAGCAGAAAATGCTCATCGTCGAACTCCATCAAGGCATTGACTTAATAAACACCTACACCAAGTTTGAACATTCTGGCTCAATAAGAAGAAGAGTTATTGTGTTCCAAAGTCTCAGCCAATCAAATTGCTTATCGCTCTGCTTACCCTGAGCAGAAAATGCTCATTATCGAACTTAGTCAAGGTATTGATGTAATGAAACTATACACCAAGTGTCCTCACTCTCACTTAAATAGAACTAAAGTTATTGTGTCCCAAAGCATCAACCAATCAAACTGCTTATCTCTCCGTACCGTAAGCAGAAAATGCTCATCTTCGAACTCCATCAAGTCATTGATCTAATAAACACCTAGGTCAATTAGAAAGAGAGTTATTGTGTCCCAAAAAAGTGTGACGGACAGACAGACGGACGGACGGACAGAGAGACAGACGAACCCATTTTAATAGTCCCCTGCTTTCTTCGAAAGGCAGGGGACAAAAAATATATAGAGTTTGATATGCCATTAAAAAAATATATATTAAGCTTGATAAGGCAAAATATCGGTAATGATTTCAACGGTAAATGTTATTAGAGTTTGACCCAGTTACTAATACTAGAGCTTGCGGGTGGATTTGGGACATGTATGTTATGACACATGTTTCACAAGGTGCTGTAGAAAGGTGCGCCTAAACCATGCACTTTTATTTTTTCCTGGAACACATCTGCGACTTATCTATGCATGCGCCTAATCCACCGAAGAATACGGTATGTCTGCATTACTGTGGAATTGCTCAGGGGATGGAAATGTGAATAACCAATAACTGACAGAGAGAGGTGACAACAACAATATACATTCATATGAAAATGCTGTGAAATAAAAAAATTTTTTTTACCTTGTTAGATGGATGATTGAATACAGAAACTCTATTGGGTTGTATTACAGCTTCTTCTCGCAGCAATAATTCTATCGATTTACTGATGGTAGGCTGTATAGTGCCCTATAGTTTTAAATATATACAATAATCATAGATTGTACTAGCCCAAATTTCAGAGATATATTTTACTAAGACTTAAGGGTGTAAAGGGTTAGTTGGAGGACCGATCACAGTTCGGTTCCAAGAGGCATACCTGTTCAAAAATATAACTGAAATTCTTCTTAATATCATATCTGACCTTCAAACAAAGGAATCATAGGTACAGTATGCCCATCATGAAAGTGTGATACAGAACACAGTAATACCATGTTTTCTAGTGGAATTCTGTGGTTTAATGAGTGAATATTGAATATCACAAATAGCACTGAATCAGCGTTGAAAATCAAAACATCTCTGTACATAATTGTGGCTGGTTTTAGTTACACAAAGTTTGTAAAATAAGTAGGGCCATAATTGGCAGAGGACAGTTACTGCTAACAGAAATTATACTTTGTTATGCTTTTCACAATGATCGTGAACTATTTGATAAGATTTGGTACATTAATATAAAACTGAGGCACAATATGATGGTGTTCGATTTAATTGAATAGGATGTGAATTCCAGTTTTAATTTTGAAACAGTCGTTCAATTATTAACTAGTTTGGCACATATTATGTTCCATACAATTTGTTCAAAAGTCATGTGTGACGACTACCAGTTAGGATAGTACAAAGTTTTCTGTTGGTGGTCATAATAATTTGACAACATCAATATGTTTACTGCATGGTACACAGCTTTGAGTTTATAATTCTTGAGTATGTCAAACATGAGCAGTTAATTATCTCTCTTAGCCATGTAATGAGGGAACCAATGTCTATTTTAAAAGTTGTGATATTGGGCGAGAGAACAACAAACATGGGTTTTACTATCAAGACATGTTTTATGTAACTAACAGATATGATTAGTACACAACAATATATTCATATGTAGGGTGACCCGTACACCGTACAGAAAGTTGGTCTCGAAACGGTGAATGTACACGCTTCTGTGGCTTATCTTGAAGTGATTTCTCGCATACACTACGCACTCAGCGGTATAGTCTATGATACTATAAATAGCCATCGCACGTGCAATTCTCTACACATCTATCAACTATTACAGCCGTAAAAAATCTATTGTTGACGATTCTGAATAGCAGTAATATTTAGCTTATTGGTTATATTACAGCAGCTTTAGAAATTACGTTCGTTTTATTTTTTAAATTGCTTTATATTACAGCAGCTTTAGAAATTACGTTCGTTTTATTTTTTAAATTGCTTTATCATTAAGTGTACCATTAGGAGCTGCATCTTTTGGTTTAGTATAAATAATATCTCTGAAATACTTGCGTTGGGCAGGAACATGATACTAGCAGTAGTTTCATTTTACTTTTACAAGGTTCTTAAAACAATTGTTGAGTTGCCTAACGTGTGTGTTTCCAAGTTCAATTTCTTGTCCCAGCTTTCTGTTATGTTTCGTAAAAAAAGTAGTCTTGATTATCCCGGTCTGTTAATCAAACGTAGAATGATCGGTAGAATGGTTAAGCAGGCCTTGAGATCTGAAAATCACGCTGGAGTGATAAGATGTGTTCGCCATATCTTTTGCGGGAGCTATTTAACATCACCAAATTTCTATCTGAGATAATGCTTATTGTAACTAGTTTACATTAAATTTAAAGTGTAAGCTATAAATTTAAAAGTATAAACAAACACTGTTTTAATACATGTAGTAATACCCTATACTAGTAACTCTTCATAAATAAAAGATAGGTTGCCAGGCAACAAAACATACGCCCACAGCAGCTAAATCGTCCGAGCAGTCGACAAGGGTTGTCACATATTTATTCTTTTGTAGGTAATTAGGGGAATTATAAGACAATTTCATACAGATGACATTATAATTTCCGTTGTTTGAAGGTTCACAAGGTTTTAAAATCTAAAACAAGGGCCGTAACTCTGGAAGCAATCGACAGGCTTTTTTCGTTTTAATAATTCAAATAATGCATATGAATTTCATACAGATCGGATGATAACTTTTGTTGTTCGAAAGTTCACAAAGTTCAACAAAGTAAATCAAGGGCCATAACTCTAGACATAATTGATGGAAATTGCTGACATTCAATAGGCTTGTTCGTCTTCATTTCACTAATTTAGGTGATAACTGAAACTCAATAGGCTTATTCGTTTTACTAATTTAAATGATACATATAAATTTCATACAGATCGGATAATAACTTTTGTCGTTAGAGCATTTACAAGGTACAACAAAGTGAAACAAGGGCCATAACTCATGGCGTAATTAACGGAAATTGCTGAAATTCAATAGGCTACTTCATTTCACTAATTTAAATTATGCATATCAATTTCAAACAGATCGGATGATAACTGTTGTCATTAGAGCGTTCACAATATTCAACAAAGTGAAACAAGGGCCATAACTCTAGATGTAATTAACGGAAATTGCTGAAATTCAACAGGCTTCTTTGTTTTACTAATTTAAATGATGCATATCAATTTCATACAGATCGGTTGATAACTTTTGTCATTAGAGCGTTCACAATATTCAACAAAGTGAAACAAGGGCCACAACTCTAGATGTAATTAACGGAAATTGCTGAAATTCAACAGGCTTCTTTGTTTTACTAATTTAAATGATGCATATAAATTTCATACAGATCGGTTGATAACTTTTGTCATTAGTGCGTTCACAAGGTGCAACAATGTGAAACAAGGGCCATAACTCCAGAAGAAATTAACGGAAATTGCTGAAATTCAATAGGCTTCTTCATTTCACTAATTTAAATGATGCATATCAATTTCAAACAGATCGGATGATAACTGTTGTCATTAGAGCGTTCACAATATTCAACAAAGTGAAACAAGGGCCACAACTCTAGATGTAATTAACGGAAATTGATGAAATTCAATAGGCTTCTTTGTTTTAATAATTTAAATGATGCATATAAATTTCATACAGATCGGTTGATAACTTTTGTCGTTACAGCGTTCACAAGGTGCAACAAAGTGAAACAAGGGCCATAACTCCAGAAGAAATTAACGGAAGTTATTGAAATTAAATAGGCTTCTTCATCTCACTAATGCAAACAACATATATCAATTTCAAAACAATCGGTTGATAAATGTAGTCTGTAGTGTGTTCACAAGAAATTGTGGATGATGGACGGACGGACGGGGACGACGGCAATATACGACCACATTTCCATGTGGGCGTGTAAAAAGCATCCATCATACATGTGTTTGTCCAATTACATTTTAACAGCTCCACGAATTTATTGTTTTGCTTTAAAACGGTGGAACAAGCTCAAATTACATTTACATTTACTTTACGGTGATTACAATGTGTTGACATCTCGATGATGGGAGGGCTACGGTTTAGTGCCGTAGGTAGTTCACTAAACGTTGACACAATTAACGATACTGGGCTTCCAATATGCCTTTCAATTACAAATTATGCCAAAAATGTCAGTTTGTATGCGTATTATTTATTTACTATCACATTATATGAAACAAACAAACCCCTCTTTGATAGATTATAATTAATACTACATCGTATCCACCGCCATGTTGAATGTACCGGTAAGTCGCTAATTATGATTGGCTATTATTTTGGAGTTAGATAGAGGTTCTAATGGAGACAAAAGTATTACATTTCATCACTGTATTTTGAATTTTTTTTGGTTTTATATTCTTTTAAGTAAATTTAAAAATAACAGTCAATGTTTTTAAATAGTTTTGGCAGGGCTCTGAATTAAATATGCAGAAATGCGCATCTAACCTTTTTTTACAACCGATCTAAATTTCACGTTTCCCTTTAAGCCTCGCTTGTGTTTCTTCACCTCGGAATCGCTCATTAAATTGATAACTCCATATCTCGGAGGATAACTTTGCACCGGAATAAAAAAAACACAACGATGAGATGGTGTCCTCTAATATCGACCAGGGCTTTGTGGGGGAGAATTCATCCATGCTTTTGGGGATGAAATCGTCCACTATTTTGAGCCCGAAGATCTATGTTAATAAAATTGAATAATTTGCTGGCGCGATAATTTGTGTTCGCTAGTTTTAATTTACCAGCGAGCTGCGGGCGCGGATCGATTGCACCCGTCGAATCTCAAGGCCTGGTTAAGGAAGACTACTTTCAAAACAAGGGCAGGTAACCTATTTTTTACTCACACATGCTTGGATGTTATGGCTGACACTCGGAACCATCTTTCAGTGTATTATTTATGGATGATTAAATGGTCATAGCTCATTAAGTACAACATGGCCATTTATTTAGTGACTATAAATGTTTGAAGCTGATTTAAGGCTTGGTGTATATATAGATATTGTGGTGTAATTGTCGAGATATTTGGAGATATTTATTTATGGTGGGGCACCCTATCATATGCGCACTGCGGTCAATATCATAACAATGCTTAGCTTTAGCAGGAAAGGTTAATCATTGAAGTGTCAAGACATTCACCTAATGAACACCTGCATCAAGTTTAAGCATTCTACCTCAATTAAAAGCAGAGTTGTCATGTTCCAAAGTCTTGACCAATCAAATTGCTTGTTGTTCCTAAGCCTAAGCACAATTTCATTCCTTGTTTAATATACAAGCCAACAGTGAGGCTGATGTCCCCCGCCGAAATCCCAAAATAAATAGATGACACGTGACAGTAATTAATAGCACATTTATTTTTTTCAAAAGTATCGAGCAATCAAACTATACACTAAGTTTCATCACTCTCTGCTTAGCTTCAGCTCGAAATGTTAATCATTGAACCCAGTCAAGACATTCGCCTAATGAACATCTACAAAGTTTAAACATTCTACCTCAATTAAAAGCAGAGTTGTTATGTTCCAAAGTCTTGACCAATCAAATTGCTTATCGCTCCTTAACCCCTTAACTGCGTAGGATGTTATATAACGTCCTGGACAACTGCCACTTACCGTGTGTAGGACGTAATATAACGCCCTGGAGGTATTTTCCCCAACCTATTCTTCGAACACAATCTCACCATGCAGAAGACGTTATATTACGCCTGGTCGATGAAATCTAATTGAAGGGAGACAACTCTATTTACTGTTAGTTTTAATATGGTTTAAGACCACTCAAATTTGTATTCAGGAAAAAATAGGCCCAAAAATGATGTTTTTCGTAAAATTAATTACGCAATAGCGGGTAGTTAACGTCAAATTAATTACACAGTTAAGGGGTTAACCTAAGCAGAAAATTCTCACCATCGAACTTAGTCAAGGCGATGATATAATGAATCTAAGGTCGGTGTTTCATTGCTCTCACTTCATTATAACCAAAGTTATCATGCCCCAAAGCGTCATCCAATCAGATTGCCTATCTCTGCTTACCGTAAGCATACAATGTTCATCATCGAACTCCATCCAGGCATTCACCTAATGAAAGCCTACACCAAGTTTGAACATTCTACATCAATTAGAATGCGAGTTATTGTGTTCCAATGTCTCAACCAATCAAATAGCTTATCGCTCTGCTTAGCCTGAGAAGAAAATGCTCATTATTGAACTTAGTCAAGGTATTGATGTGATGAAACTATACACCACATTTCATCACTCTCAAGATCACGTGGCTAAGTGGATAAGACGCTGGCTCGCTAGCCTGGAGGTCGGGTGTTCGATCCCTGCATTGGCCGACAAAGTTCATCCAGATTTTCCGGCGTGGTTTCCCCTTGTCAGTGATGCAGAACGGAGGGCCTGACAAGGACAGCTGTCTAGTCGTTCGGATGTTACAAAAAAAGAGGTCCTGTGTACATATTGGTGTGCACGTAAAAGATCCCTTGGCAGCTGGAATTCGATATAAGAGTAGGCCGTAGCGCACTGTATGGCATATGCCCGTCTTCATAAGCCCATTTCATTTCATTTCTCACTTAATTAGAACTAAAGTTACTATGTCACAAAACATCAATCAATCAAATTGCTTATCTCTGCTTACACTTAACAGAAAATATGCACATCTTCAAACTTCATCAATGCATTCACCTAATTAACACCTGCACGACGTTTGAATATTCTACCTCAATTAGAGGGAGAGTTAGTGTGTCCCAAAAAGTGTGATGTACAGACAGACAAATGGACAGAGCCATTTTAATAGTCTCCTGCTTTCTTCGAAAGGAGGGGGACAAAAAAGCGTTGTGTAGTAATTTTACTTTTAAGCTTGTACTTACTGATATTGAAGAACAGGCAATCTTTAAATATCGTTGATTATAATTTGTAATGGTCGCTGTTAAGATCACACTACCTGTTTGTCCATTAGGATGTATCGTTTGATACGCTGTAAGAAAAAGTTAGAAAATGATAGCAAGCAATTCATCACTTGCGCAAAATTAACCTTGCACGAGTATGGCGAGTAGAATAATAGTTGTTTAACCAGTAACAAAATGACTGAGTGAAGCACTATTACTTATGGACTATAATAATACATTGTAATAGGGACACTTCTTCTTAGTGTTCAACGTGATATCACAGACTAGTTGTCTTATTTTTTTTATCTTTGACCTGCCAGCTAGAGCTCAAAGCGTGACACTCTGGACCACTAGGCCATCCAAACACCCCAATAAGGACACATGTAGTTTCCGTTTTAATACTCTTATTCTGGTAAAGTTTTTGCAAATGGCAACGATTACCACAAAACCGAAACTGCAAATTCAATTTGATTAAAAGTTTGAGCCAAATATGGGAAATGTACATGTTTTTTTTAAAATTAAAAACATGGTAACATGCATAGTGTGTAGAACTGAGCTCTGAGTATTAAGTAACTGGCCTCTGCGTTAGAATATCCTTCAAAAGAGTAGAAATGATTAATTGTGGTTACTATTCATGGAAACTCGTGAGAAATATATGTGTTGTCAGTAGTCGCTTAAACCCATCAGTACATGCACCTTACGTCAGTATTCATATAAATGGTCAGTAATAATCATAAGGTGAGTATTCATGTTAATTGGTTAGTATTCCTTACATGTGTCAGTATACAAAAATAACCTGACTAATTAAACAAATATGAGTTTATCCGAACATATCACTAGTCAGACGCATGCGGGAGAAATTGGAAAAAGCGTGACTAATTAAGAAACCGTCAGTATTTAGGCTACCGCTTACTACCTGAGTGAAACCGCCAGTTATCTTTGATGTGCGGCAGTAAGTGGAACTGTCGCCAGTAGAGCGTGAAATCGTTAACTATATAAATTTCTGGTGAGTATTGGTACTATGAGTGATTATAAGTATCCTGAATAAATTAATTATTATTTATTAATATTCTCGAATTGGAGCAAATTTTTAAAACAATAATAGATGGCAGTGAACAAAGGGACTATTGTCGACAATTTCGATTACAGCCGTAGTTTGCAAAAGACACCGAAGATGGTTAGATAGATCGATCTAATATAAAAATACCTTCATATTTAAATATGAATTTAAATGCTCAGTGGCAAGGTTTGATTCGTCGCACTATTTGTACCGTTCCCGTTCTTACAACGGGTTCCCCATGCAGAATACGGCGCAATGTGTATTGTTATTTAATTTACAATTGATATTTATCCTCGTTACATGCGGATTGAAGAATCGTGTGCATATCTATTTACATTGAGAAATATTAACTATTAAACAATATGTATAACGATTAAATTAGTTATAACATATACGGCACGATATACAATGTTAAAATACAAAATGGTCGTACGTTACAGGAAAAAAAAATGAATTTCATACATACAAGTAAATCGAAATTATGAGCATGGGTCGAAAAAATGCGAACGACCAACGAACCGAAATGCGACGATACTCAAGTCTGCCATTGGGTATCCTCTGAATAATGTTGATATTTACATCAACGCCAAAATGCACGAAAGTGAATGTCAGCATTTCTTGACTATGAAATTGATATTTCTATAGGGACTCATATTTTGATAACGTCACAGTACCTGAAAATAATAATAGACCTATCGTACACGCACGACAGACTACTAATGTATAGATTGTTCTTCAATATAACAGTATCATGTGAATATTATGCCGTATGTGTTGTGGATGTTTCGTTACGAAAGGAGTGCATTTACTACGATTTTCGTCGTCAGCACCCTTGACATCCTAAATAAAAAACATTAAAGGACAAAATAGCAAATAAATTGCGGAAATCGTCGGATCAAATTTTTACTACGATTTTCGTCTTCAGCACCCCCTAAAACCCATGGAAAGATATATTCAACGACAAAACAGCAAATAAATGACCTGGTTGCTATGGGATTTTTTTTTGGAACATACCAAATCTTTGACTTGCTTTTTCTCAAAACTTACTTTTTTGAGTTGGGTAGTTTCTAATGGACACAGCTCAGTCAACTTTTGTCCAATTCAAACAAACTATACATCAAATTGAAGGTAATGAGTTGGAGAAGTGAAAATAACAATAAATCAATTTTCAAAATTTCCTCATTGCGACTTAGTATGCTATGGGGGGGGGGGGGGGTCACATATACCTTATCGTTAATTTTGTGAGAATGATTCGTAAGATCCGAACAACTTGCTTACAAGCCTGGATGTCTTTTTTAGAATATAATGATACAATTTATGTAGAAATGACCAAGTTACACCTCTGTACCGTTCAGCTAATAAATTCTGTCAAATGTACAAACCCGATTCCTGATAAAAAAAACCAAACAACCCATATAATTCAAACGTCAACCCGACTATTTCAGACTTCGCGTCTTACCATTTCACGAATAGTCTGTGTAGAGCACGGAGTCGGCAATCTCGGTCAAAGGAGCAATTCCTTTCATACATTACAAGCGTGCACGAGCTTATTCAGAGTTCATACTGGACAACTTTTGGTGTCAAGGCGACTGCAGTTCGGTTGCTTTATTCAAAAAGATAACTAATATTAAACTGTAAAATTGACCAAGCTTTATCCGTTTGAGGTATCGTTATGTTCTGACACTAAATCACATAGCAACCACGCCATATATTTGTTAATTTCTGTTTAATAGTTCTCTCGGTGTTATAATTTAGAACCAAAGAGAATAGTCCATACATTAGTAATGTAGGTCTCGTATATTAAATCTTTTATGGGAATAAATTCTGTTAATCTCACCACTTAATTAGCACCTTTCTGTATAGTGCTCGTGCTCAAGAGATTAAGAATGTTGATTGGGTCAGTAGAGCGTAAAATCATTAACTATATCAATTTCTGGTAAGTTTATTGATAAACTGTATCATTAAAAGAAAATTTGTTATCGGTGTGACTATTGTAGAAGAACTCAAACGAAAATTTCGGATATGTAACTGGCAAATTTTAAGACATAAAAATGCTCTATTTGTTCAAAATATTTTAACAAAAGTTTCGCTATAGTGTTCGTAATTTCTTGTGTTTTGAATTGTCTCAGATTTGAATATGTAATATAGTGTAGTTATAAATGTGTGTGTTTTTTTTTTATAATTTTCAATGTGCATTTCTATCAGCCTTAGTTTTAATAAAAAAAATAATCGGCCGGGATATCTACATGACTTTCGAATTTCGCACAAGAGAGATATCCCAAGATCGAGCGTTGTACAGGGTTTTACTATTTTACCGTTCCATGCAATGTATCAGTTATATTTATCGTGTGCTACATAAAACAATTTCTAAAATAGTAATAGACTCTTCCGTGCTCATAATTTCAGTTTACTTGTATGTATGAAATTCATTTTTTCTGTAACGTACGATCATATTGTATTTTAACATTGTATATCGTGCCTTATATGTTATTACTATTTGCATCGTTATATATATATATATATTGTTTGATAGTTACTATTTCTCAAATGTAAATAGATATTCACACGATTCTTCGGTGCGCAGAATATCAGCTTGTATATATGTATGTGTATGAAATTCAATATTATCTGCTATCATATTATCTGTTTCAATAAAATTAGCGACAACAGATTGGTGTTGATGATCTTTTTTAACCATTAGTTGTCATTCCAAATTTAATAATCCATACAGATATCAAAATATGTGCCAATCCGCATGTAACGAGGATAAATATCAATTGTAAATTAAATAACAATACACATTGCGCCGTATTCTGCATGGAGAACCCGTTGTAAGAACGGGAACGATACAAATAGTGCGACGAATCAAACCTTGCCACTGAGCATTTAAATTCAAATGTATGAAATCCTTTTTTTTCGTACGATCATATTGTATTTTAGAAATGTATATCATACCTTATCATATGTTATTACTATTTTCATCGTTATATATATTGTTTTAATAGCTTGTATAGATGTATATGAAATTCATTATTTCTGTTATCTGTTATCATATTATCTGTTTCAATAAAATTAGTGAAAACAGATTTGTGTTAATGATTTTTTTTTTAAACAATTAGTTTTGATTCCAAATTGAATCCATACAGTTATCAAGGTGCAGTACATCCCAAAAATATGTGCCAATCCGCGATCGAAATCGCTGACAAATAATGCAGTTGCTCACTGCCATCCATTATTGTTTAAAAACATTTCCCGATTCCAGAATGTTAGTAAATAATTAATTAATAATTTATTCAGAATTAATGTAGCGATGATTTAACGGGCAAGTTACAATTTAACTGATACTAGTCACCAAAAGTAACAATACTCACTAGAAATTTATATCGTCAACGATTTCACGCTCTACTGGCGCCGGGTCCAGTTACTGACGCACATCATCAAAAGTGACGTTTTCTTAATTAGTCACGCTATTCTCAATTTCACCTGCACGCGCCTGACTAGTCATATGGTCGGATAAACTCACGTTTGTTTAATTAGTCACGTTATTTTTACATACTGACACAAGTAAGGAATACTAAGCAATTAACTAAAAAAGTCACATTATGATTATTACTGACCATTTATAGGAATACTGACGTACGGTACAAATACTGACGAGTTTAAGCGACTACTGACAACATGTATATTTCTCACGAGTTTCCATGAATAGTAACCACAACTAAGCTTTTCTACATCCTTGATGGATATACTAACACATAGGCCAGTTAGTCAATACTTCGAGATAGGTTCTACACACTATGCATCCACCAGTGAAAGAAACACGCAGTTGCCATGCAAGATATGCCCACATTTTGCAAGAGATTGACAGAGAACAAGCTATAAAAAAAAAGGGTTGCCAGGCAACGAAACATACGCCCATAGCAGCTAAGTCGTCCGGGGAGTCAACAAGGGTTGTTGCATATTTTTTCTTTTGTCAGAAATAAAAATATTTACAACACACTAAAATCTGAGTACAATACAAGTAACAACCCATTTGGCTTCTAGTTCTGCCCTATTCTAACATTTACCATACAAAACAGTTAAAGATACATTATGTTAGATTTAGATAAAAGAGATTTTGATTTGACAGTTTTTACATACTTTTGAAACAGGTTTCGAAGTTTTTTGGTTCTGTTATGCAAGATCTTTTTTGGGATGTTCTAAAGTAAATGTATGGTGCTAAGACCACCTAAAGATAAGTTTTAAATGTTCCTTTTAATAATTAGAACAGGTTTTGCTTTAGTTTTTATATTTTATGCTGACATTTTATTGCTTTAAATCTTCCTAGTGCAAAAATGGACAATTTGACCCTTTGGCCTCCGAGGTCACAAAGAACAAAGGTTAACATTTTTATTGAAAGGCTGGTTACTTTCGTTCATTTTCAGCATGTTTTCGTGATACAAAAATGGCTGCGCATTCACTTTCAGTGCAAATGACCTCATTTGACCTTTGACAGCAAATATCTCGAAAACGCCCAAACGGCGGACTGATTACCACTCGGCATTGTATTTACTCTAGAAAAGTTGGGTCTGGTTTGACAAGACGTGTGCAATAATTTCAACCACTGTACTGGTTGTTCGAAGCTAAGTCTCGCTCCTCCATTTTTAGCTTAAATCAAAATATGGCTGAACTGTTCTTATCTATTTAACATTGGAGAAATCCGATTTCATCAAGAATTGATTATGGCCTGGATAAGTTAATTAATAATTTAGAAAACATTTCAGGCCTAAAGAAAGACATGCAATATCTCTTGCATAATGTATGTTTAATACAATTGCCATAATCATCAGAATCGTTGTAAATTAATAAGTTTCATCTTATGACCTTAAAACACTGTATCGGAAATCGCTGGAAATCAATAGGCTTCTTCGTCTCATGACCTTGAACGCTGTGTATAAATTTAAAGTCAATCGGATATTAACTTTAACCTAGAGAGCGTCCACAAGATTTTTCAAAATGATCAAGGGCCATAACCTTGGCAGTAATTATCCGAAATCGTTGAAAATCAATAGGATTCTTCGTCTCCTGACCTTAAAAACCGTGTATAAATTTAAAGTCAATCGGATATAAACTTAAGCGTCTGGAGCATCCACCAGATTTTTCAAAGTCATCAAGGGCCAAAACTTTGGCAGTAATTATCAGACCGACGGACGGGGGTGACGACAATAACGTGGCCGTATGAAAAGCAATTTCTTTTGACAATCAGGGACCATAATCCAAGAAGTTATGGTCTGATATGCACGAGTATCAAAAGAAACTGAGATCTTTGTGATACAAACATATTTTAAGTTTCATCAGAATCGAATAAAAATTGTGACATCTACAGGGTCCATAACCTTGGTATTACATACTTTTACACTATTTGCGTACATGAAGCGGCCAAATTGTCGGAAAGTTGCAGTCCAATTTTCACACGATTCTAACTCAACCATCCTTATGGTGTAACGGTGATATGTTTATAAACCTTTTTGAATTGGATAAAAATTGTTATCTCTAGAGGGTCCACAAGCTAAAAACATGATTTTTCGTGAAACAAATTGTGGGCATATAAAAAAGTCATTAAAGAAAGTAGCCTCTATCACCTTCAAAAGGTTTTCAACAAAGCAGGATAATTCCAGAATGGAAAGAAATCTGACACCACATTTGACAAGAATCCTTTGCAAACTACAGCCCAGACCTGTCAACTCTACCGCATCACGCGAAAAGGCCTCATGTACCACTTTACTGCGCGGTAATAGATTTCTACCCCATTTTCAAACAAAGAGTTTTTTTTAATTTTCTCGCCAAAACTATGGAACTAAGGGAAGCAACTCTTTGCATGTAAACAATAAAGATTGCGACTTTCGGTTATCAGCATCGATTTGGGATATTGTAAGCTGTAATTTAGCTAACAGATTTTTTCTCAAATTCTTTTCAATCTATTTTAGAGTAAATAAAGTGAATATAATTATTGGCACGTGTTCCAAATACTCTTAAAATGGGTAGCAATAAACTAAACAAATAGCGACCAATTTACGGCAGCAATGACTGACATTTTCATTTGCGCGCGTACGTACAGCATCTAATACAATACTTCGAATGCAACACAACCTAGAAATTTAATTTCAAGATGGGACTACGTCTCGCCAATTCTGACACGCAATCACGGGAGAAAAAAATCCTGTACATTGAGAGGATAATCGCCATGGGGGGGGTGGGGGGATGATTAAATCGATACCAATAACTAATTTTTTACATCCCTTACTCCCTCCCCCCCCCTATTCCTAATGTAGAAATACTATAGAATCTAATAAGCACACCAATTATCTTATATGAAACAATATTGTCAAAAAATCTCGGAATGGGGAACACGTCACAAGTTAAAACAAAAGAAAAGTGGTACTGCCAGTACTACTGGACTGGTAATTTTAATTATTTTTTACGTTAATAATTATTTCTTTCTGTAGGCTACATATTCAATTTTGGTTTAATTACATAAATAATTTTAGATATGGTACCATTGGTTGTGTATATTTTATCTATTAGTATTACCCATTTAATGCAATATTTGTATTGTTAGGCCTGCAGTTCAGTGGATCATTTCTAAATTAATTACCCTTGGATGTGCGAATTTACGCGTTTTTGGAAATCTACTGCCAAATCATGGTTTCTACTGCATTTTTTACACTACCCTACTGCATTTCAGCTCTGAGGGGTTGACAGGTCTGCTACAGGCAAAGGAAAATAACTCTGGAACGGAAAGTAGCAGAACGCTGAATATCAATAGAGTTCTCCCTCTTAGAACAACAGTACTTCACACGAAATTTGAAAAGAATCGGTTAAAAAATGTAGTCTCTATCGCATTCACAGGCTTTTTGGCAATGGGGGATAACTCCTGAGGTCATTAACGCTGAATAACAGTAGGTCTTCACTGAACGCTGAATAACGATAGGTCTTAAAATAAAAATCTTGCTGGCTTTTTGGTCGGGTGGTTCATGTCCGATTTTCACGAAATTCAAACTCAACCGTCATTATGGTGTTACGGTGATGTATTTGAAATTTTTTTTTAATCAGATAAAAATTGTGACCTCTAAAACGTGATTTTTCGCATAATCAGGGGCCATAATCCATGAAGTTACGGTCCGATACATGCCAACACCGAAAGGAACCAAAATTTTTGGGAGATAAACCTATATTTCAAGTTTCGTCAAAATTGGAAAAAAATTGTGACCTGCGGAGTGTCCATAAACAAATTGTGGATGGACGTCTGGACTGACAGGTGCAACAACAATATACATCCACATTAAAACGATCTGGATCATCTGGCTGAAGCAAGGGATGTGACTGGCAGGTTGGTGAAGTTGATCTTCTGTGTATGCAGTTAATTGCATACAATCACCATTACCGTGTGCTGCAGAATGAAATGACAGCGCTTGCAAATTTTGTATATATTTTGGCAAGCTAATTTGGAGGTCCTGTGTTCAATCCCAGAGTTGGTCGAGAAAGTTCATCTGGCTTTTCCAGTGTGGTTTCCCCTTGTCAGAGGTGCAGGACGGGGCACATGGCAAGTCATTCTAATGGTGGGATGAAAAACTGAGGTCTGTGTACATTGGCTTGCACGTAAAAGAAACCATGACAGTTGGAATTCAAAAGAAGAGTAGGCCGTAGTGCCGATGTTTCGGCAAAATTTTATTCATAGCGCACTGTATGGCATATCCCCCTCTTTATTAGCTCAGTTGGTGCAGAATAGTAGGATGTGAAACTCCATTTCATTTCATTTATATACGAAGAGTTTTACCTGTCACAAAGTTTTTTCCATCGGTATCTTGCTGTATATCAATAGTTAATTGATTAACATCTCTTATTGTAACTAGTCCATTCTCTGTTACTTTCCATTCTATAGCTAGTGAAGAGAAGTTATCAAATTTACGACCACTACTGTCTGTAACTATTGCTTTAACATCCAAGTCTTTTTTACAATGAACAGGGATCTAAAAAAAATGGAAAGGTAGGTTGGCATAAAACAAAATGTAACACCACCGACACTACAAGTGGTTCCCATGCAAGATAGACTCACATTATGCAAGAGATGAAAACAGTGCAAATCGACAGGGCTCATCATAAACACTATGCATGAATTTGAAGTCAATCGGATCATAACTTCAGTCTCCATAGCTGTGCGTCAACACAATTTTTCAAAGTAATCAAGGGCCATAACATTTCAATGTGGGCGTATAAAAATAAAGGATCCTTAAAATTAAATAGATGAAATTGAATATACTTACAGGTAGTTGTGTTTCTCTTGTTACGGGACAGGGAGGTAATCCATGGTCAAAATTTAAGATTGGCTGAAGATATAACTCGACAGGTCTTGCACAAATAAATCTGGTAATGAAAAATTGATACATAGGTTGCCAGGCAATATAAACCAGATATGCATACCAGCATCCAAGTCATTCTAACTGTTTATAAAAGTTATCATTACTTCCGATATTTTGGACCTATTCATATATTTAAATTATCTTTTGTATCCATTGTACCTTTAAGGCATTCAACATCCTTTGGTTCATTACTCAATGGAATTTTGAAACAATGGCAATGACTGACTTAAAACCTCAATAAACCTTTGTGGTCCATTTCGATCAAAAACATCTTCTCTTTTGTTTGCCAATAAACTGAGCCATTTGACGACACATTAAAATAGCAAATAAACGTAAGTCGGGACATTAGGTGTACATATACGTCCACATTCCTGCTTTGATTGATATAAAATGGCTGTAATGATTGTAATATGACAAGAGGCAAAGAAGGCTAGGCGTTGGGTTTGTTTTACCAAATTTACAGACAAAATATTAACAAACCAGTGGATGTGACATTGCCCCGGGTGCTCGGGGCATGCACCAAAATAAATAGTTGCTGTCTTTTACTATATGGTATAAGGAATAAGTATGCAAAGTTCCAAGATGATCCATTCAGAATTGTAGCCTGTAGACGATAAATGCAAAAATTGGGCGTGGCTCTGCCCCTAGGGGTTGGATATGGAACAATACAAATAGGTACCACCATGTGATTGAAATGATAATATATGCTGAATTTGAACAAAATCTGTTAATTATTGCAACCTGTAGAGATCTACCGATAAAAACTAACAAAAAAAGTGGGTGTGGTACCATACACCTGGGGGTCGGGACATGCACCAAAATAAATAGTTGCTATCCTTACAGTATAAGGAATAAATATGCCAAGTTCCAAGATGATCCATTTAGAATTCCAGCCTGTAGACGAAAAACACAAAAATTGGGTGTGGCTCTGCCCCTGGGGGTTGGACATGGACCAATACATATAGGTACAACCTAATGCTGGATCATTCCAAATCTGTTTATAATTGCAACCTGTATATCATTTACAGACAAAATATCAACAAAAAGTGGGTGTGGCACCACTGAAAGGGCAGGGGGTGGGGGCGTATAAAAATGGGTGTTTCAGAAGGATCTGTTAAGAATTGCGGCCTGTAGGCAAAACACAAGACACACAAAGATTGGGTGTGGCTCTGTCCCAGGGGGTCGGGCATGCACCAAAAATAAGAATGGTCTGCATTGGGGTATAAGTATGAAAAAATTGCAGGCTGTAAGTAAAACACAAAAAGAAAATGGCCGTGGCTCTGGCCCTTGGGTTGGGCATGCACCCCAAACGATATGGATGTTCCTTAGGGTACAAAGAATAAGTATGCAAAGTTTCAAGATGATATGTTAAGAAATATGGCCTGTAGACGACAAACAAATAAAAGAAATGGGCATGGCTCTGCCCCTGGGTGTCGGGTATGCACCAAAAACAATAAAGATCATCATTAGGGTATAAGGAATAAGTATGTAAAGTTTCAAGATGATCACTTAAGAATTGTGGCCTGTAGGCGACAGACACACACACAGACAGGGGTGATGGCAATATACGTCCACATGTATAAAGATAGGTTGCCAGGCAACGAAACATACGCACACAGCAGCTAAATCGTCCAGGCATTCAACAAGAGTTGTCGCATAATATTTTTACTTTTTTCGGTAATGACACATTTATAATACATTAAAATGTGATTAAGAGTAACAACGCATTAATGTTTAGTTTAGTATACAAAACTTTTAACATCATGGATTTAGCTGTTCACGTCATAAAAATTCATTGAAAATCAATATACTTGTTTGTCTCAAGAACTTAAACTCTGAATATCAATCTGAAGTCAATCGAATGATAACTTTAGCCTCTAGAGCGTCACAAGATTTTTTAAAGTGATCAAGGGCCATAATCATTAAAAAATTGTTGAATTTCACTGTTGAATTTGCATTTCCTGGTGTAATGGGACGTAAATCGTCACTGAAGGAGGTCCAGCAAGCACATTTTTGATGACAATCGATCCTTTGACGTCATAATGTGACGCTGACATATCCCAGCATACTGTCACTTGCATGTTGTATCGACAACATACCACACATCGTTCTCATCCGTTCGTGTCTTCCTACAAACAGTGAATGAATTCACTCAAATCAGCCAAATTATGCAGGTTGGTCGATGACGTCATGATCGTGCTGTGACGTCATCAACCCTCGATGTATGAAATGACAATGTCAGTTGACGGCGCATACCGCACTTGCGAAGTTTCATTCCACTAGGACAAACGAGCTCTTAGAACTCTTCAATCAAATCAAAATTGTCAAAATTGAGGCAATTTCACAAGGTGTCCCTAAACTTTTGTTATAGAATGTAGATGGCATCGCTAGTGAAATTTAAAAATTTTGCCCAATCTCACTGAAATGACCAAATTTCACTGAAATCTCACCAAAATTTCACTGAAATAAAAAAATATTTTGGTCTATTACTGAAATTTCACTGAAATAAACAAAAATTTTAGTCTACTGAAATTTCACTGAAATGAAATATAATTTGGTCTACTGGAATTTCACTGAAATATTTATATTATAACTTATGTATAATAAGTGAGGTTTATGAATTCAAATAAAAAATTAAATAATCCCTAATTAATATTCATTAGTATCTACCAAGTATATATTCATACACAGCACCGAGACTCGCCTTTGAGTGGCTGATACACCCATCCTGGCATCAGTCTTCCTTCTGATTGGCTGATACACACATCCTGGCATTTGTCTTAGTTCCCTCGCCGTGAAAATTCATTAGTTCTCAGTCTTTATCCTGTTAAAGTCTACATTATTATCGTTTTACATTTACTACCGTTTTTACATTTAATTCCGAACACAAGAGTGGAATTTCAATCCGCGAAGTTTTTTAAACTTTGGGAATACGTAGAGCAACGTTTATTAAACATCTTACCGACCAGTGGAAGTGTTTTGTTCCCGGATTCACTCGAAACTAGAAGTTCGAACGGCTGTAAATGGCGGACAAGCAAAACCCGCAAAAAAGACGCAGGACGACAAGAGCTAGGCAAACACTTCCAAAGAACAAAGCGTCTGCGGAGCCTGAACCAGGGAGACAAAATATAGTTCCGGGAGATCCGAACGGTAGTCGTAGTGTAAATCCTGTTTCGCTACCGAGATCGGAAGTGTTAAACCATGTTTCCTACAACAGCGATGCCATACCTGCAACCGTGGAAGGCCGAGAGAGAAACCATTCGGATCGACAACAGACCGCGGAAGAAGACAGCCGGATTACCGACAGAGAATCTGCGCACGGCATCCTGCGCAGTGATATGCCAGTAAAAGGAAACAACATGGCGGCGCCCATAGAGTTAATGCAAGGGATGGTTAGCACCATGCAATCTATACAACAAGCATGGCAGACTTCCAACGAACCATGCTGTCTCTCGTCAGTAACAACACAGCCAGCCATACTGAAAAAACGAACTCGTTAAGTACGGCATACGTGGCCATGACAGGTGACAGTGCAACAAACCTAAGAGTAAGAGACGAGCATTCCGGTTCAAGTTCAACAATGGCGAAATTGACAAGCTGCCAAAGTGGAAGTGGTACCAACGCGAACAATTTCGGCCTGCTTATGCAAGGTGGGTACCATTTTCCCAAATCTAAATACGGAGTTCCTTCTGAATGCATTCTGCATATTGACGTTGTTCCCGACAACATTAAAAAACGGATTTGGGAAGGGAAAGATGTTAATCTTGTATCTCTACTAAGTCAGAGACCCACACCCAACAATCCGATGCAGAGATTACTCCCGGCAACGGCATTACCATTAACTTTAACAATAATCCAGATCCGAGATTACAGAAAACCCACAACATATCCGAATTTATAACTGTGTTCGGTAAATTTAAAAGAGTTATGGCCACCAAATTCCCAGAACGCAGGGAGGAATTGGATATGTATGAGGCGAACATTATCGACATCCACAACGTGTACGGCTCAAGATACTTCGAATACCACCGGCAATTCTCTGCTAGGGCTGCAGCAGCGCTGAGACTTGCAGTCTATGCGAAATGATATTTTTTTTACCGGACATTTGGGCAGGTATTATTCCAACTATTACTGGACCGAATGAGATTTTACTGGTCCAAAAAAGTTCATACCAAAGATATGCATAAAATAAGTAATAATGGCCTAAAACTCGAAAAACAACAAACAGTATATATAAGGGGGAAAATACTTTACTTTATTACAAAGATTATCTATTGTATAAAGACTTTTTCGCACACTTCCTTAATTGTCATTTTGTGTTAATGATAACAATAAATAGACCGCGCAAAGAAAATATAATCCCTTAGATGACAATCGAGTCTACCAGAAGCCAATGTTATTAATACAATAAAAGGACTTTCGTTTTAGTCTGGATTAACCTAGCCTACTACTTACTAGACTAGCTCGATATACGGTACTACGTACTCGAGATAAGATTTTGTTTACATTTTAAACAATAGTGAAATTAACACAATAAATTAAACGAGAATTCAACAGTCCGTGCACGAAGTGCCCTCAGTCAGTGCCAATACGGCGATGATTTAATATTTGTAAGTTGAGTGTCCGTTAACCCGTCCACAAGCAAACCCGTCCACGGTTAAGGTAATACCGGTACTTGACTTGTATATTATTTAATAGATTAGAATAGATCAGTTTTACTCATTGGTTGTTTATATTGTTTTATTTACCTAATAATCAACTAGCTTGGTTCGCCATCCCGACAGCGATTAGTTCGAGTTCAAATTCTTTATTCCTTTCAGCCAAAGACTCATCAGGTATAACATATAGTACAAACAAATAAATAAATACAATATGTACAAAAACAATATAGTTCACCGATGTTTTTGTAATAAAAAACAATAGTATTGTTTGTTGATTAGCGTTATGATTTTAGACAAAATGGTAAGTTCACCAATGTTTTTGTAATAAAGTAGACCCATATTG